GGCTCACATGGCAGTTCTACATAATAAAATGTTCATTTCCGTAAATAAAACAAACACAGACATGTGTGTGTCTGTAAATGAGTTGTATGACTGTCACTCTGATTATAAAGCCTTTGCAGATGAACTTATTGTAACTGTTTTATTGAATAGCTTGTATCCAATCCCCACACACTTGCTTCCTTTTCTCTCACTAAAACCAAAATAAGACAWATGTTCTTCCACTGGTGTGTCGTAAGGTTGTTCTTCTGTGAGCAGAAAGGGTTTTGTAATTTTTCTCCTCTCGCCTTCTGACAAAATCAGTGCTTCTCTGTCAGTCACTRCATGTGTTTATGTGCAGTCACTGCAGCAACTCTACATGAAAACCAACAATTTTACTCACAACTTCAGACAGGAACGGGTTAGCTGCATGAAATTTAAATGCTGCACATTTGGAGAGATGTTTAACAATTTGGCTTTACCGGTCTGGGAAGAGATTGACATTTTTAATCATAATTTATGTCATAATTATCAGTAAAGAAAAAAGTTACAAAACCCTTTCTGCTCACAGAAGAACTTTACAACATTAATGGAAGAAAATCTGTCTTATTTTGCTTTAACTGACAGAAAAGGAAGTGTGTGGGGATTGAACACAGGCTGTTCAATAACAGGGTTAGGGTCAGGTTTGGACAAAAGCTACAATAAATACATCTGCAAAGGCTTTATAACCACAGAGTGACAGCCATACAACTCRTTTAAAGGGATCCCTGATTAGTTGTACCGTTAGACTTTATATGATAAACATACACTTTAACTGTAAAATAAATACTGTAAAAACACTGTAGGATGTTCAGTTTTTATCATTTTTAAACTAAATTTTTAAAAATATATTACACGGACTGAGCCATTTTATTTACACGCAAAGCATTCTGGGTAAATGATGACATCAACTAGGTCATCGGTGCGAGGCTGGTATCGAGCTATATCCACCCTGAAGGTTAATCTTGAACAATATCTGATGATCGACTCTTTTAAATGAAACCAGAGAGCGTTGACAGAGAGGAGAAGGTAGAAATGACTCAGCCTGGAACTGAAAATATGGATGGAGGACAACAGAGCTGCTTCATGGAAGAAGAACCTCAGTTTAACCTGTTAGCCTTCGCGCTAGCAATAGCGCCGACGCTATATTGCCTTATATGTATTAGCTCGGTGCTAGCATGACAAACCAGCTAAAATGAAGTCCTCCATCCATATTTTCAGTTCCAGGCTGAGTCATTTCTACCTTCTCCTCTCTGTCAACGCTCTCTGGTTTCATTTAAAAGAGTCGATCATCAGATATTGTTCAAGATTAACCTTCAGGGTGGATATTGCTC